TAACTTTAATATGTGCAGAGTGGCTTAAATGTCACGCCACAAGGGAAAATTTGTTTTTAGTGGGAAAACTCGCAAACATCCATTAGTTACCAAAACTTTTAAGCATTTTGTCTTCAGTGTTGACTCAGTTTTATGTTTAATAATTAATAAAAATCTTAATCTAAAATCTTGTAACTAGTAGCGATTTAGGAACTTTTCCAATTGAAAAATTTGCCATTGAAGCGTGACATTTAAACCACCTTGTACTTACATACAGTGGGTTCTCAAAAGTATTGGTGGTCCATTTTGCGCCCGGTACCATGTACTATATTTTTGCAAAGAGATAACTATAGACTAATTCTTCAAGCATTTTTTAACTAAACTTTTACTAACTAAATTTTTTAACTAAGCCAAACTAATTGCTTAGAAAATACTTTAAACAGAATTTGAAAATCTGACCCCGTTCGGGGGAAATTGAGAAAAGAGTGCAAAAAAATCATAAAAAAATGTTGCAAAAGTATTGGTGGTCCCATATTTTTTTGATATGCAGGCCACGCACATCTGAATTCTTAGTCTTATCATTCGTATTAGACTTTTTTATGTCCACTATGGTAGAAATTTATTAAAAACGATCGAAATAGGTGAGTTGAGCATCGCTGAGAAAAATTTATCACCAGCATGCATGGATGTTCTGGACGGAGGATGGAGGATGTTCTGGACCTCAAAATTATGACCTTATGACCTAACCTAAGCTTCGGAAAACTCAGAATGTCTATAGGAGGTACAAGACAACTGGTTCCGTGATCAGCAAAGCAAGACAATACCGTCCAAGGGGCACCACATCACACATGGGTTGAAAAATGACCCATTATGGTAACGAAGAACGGGTCGGGTTCTAGCAAATCCGAAACCCGAACCCGAACCCGGTACCCCTGATCCGAGACCCAAGTGTAACCCGAACCCGAAGAACCCGGAACCCGTTTCCACGGATCCGAACCCGAACCCGAACTTGTAAATCAAATCCGAAACCCGAACCCGATAAACCCGAAACTAATTATGTTTAAATAGTCAGACTATACAAGCCGTCACGGTACTAGCAAAATTCCGAGTGGTTAACAAAACTTTGCATTAATTTCAAAATTCCGAATTGACAACAATATCGTCGTAATGTTCAACTAAAACTCAGTATTCATATCCTAATTTCGATTAAGTTCAAATTTTGCTGTAAAATGTGTTGTAACTGCGGTCCCCAAATTTAAGGTCATACAATTACAAATGTCGAAGCGTCACGTATTTACACAATTTCGAATTATTATCAACATTCCCAGTTGGTCTAAAAAATTCGGAATAAGTAACGGATTATATCCAATGATTCCGCTGTATCAGTGGACCAATAGGTTAACTTAAAATGCTAACCAAAATTCCATAATTAAATCCTTGAATACTAATAAGGAAAATGCAATTATTTTGCAAAGTTCAACATACCTATTGGAAAACTGAGGTCCAAAATCAAGGCCAAATTCTAGTCCAAATTAATTTTTAAAATTATTTCCGGTGATATTTGACCAAAATTTGGACGAGTCAAAATCCAAACTTAGCAAGGAACTCTCACATTTTGGCTCGTATCGCGAAAACTGACTGTGCGCCATTTCAGATTGTTTATGTACAAAAAATTACAAAAATTTTAAGCCCGAAATCAAACTCGAAAATCGTTAGAGCGCTAAAAAAAGCTGTTTCATTGTATGTATATACTATCTTAATAACATGACATTAAAAATCAACCTTTTATGTATCACTAGCACACGTTAGCAACCAGTAACCTAACACTTATACATATATATTTACATGCATAAATATGCATGTATCTACATATGTATGTAGGTTGCTTGATTGAAATATTTCAAAAAAGCTATATGTCCTTAATTTATCATCAGATTAAGTCATCTAAAGGCTCAAAACGTGCGTATTATCCAGGATAATAGTAAAAATGGTCGGAAATACTGCTTTGATACCATGAAATAGATTTTAAATTTTAGGCATCGGTCTTGATACCTGAAGGAATTGAAATCTTGGAAAAATAATAAAAATGCCTCTGTAAAACAGAAATTGCTGGAGTCTTTGTTTCGACATGTTTTCCATGCAGCTAACAGTTCGGCCGAAATCTCAGGCAAAAAATTACGTTTGACCTTTTGGATATTTTTCAACGATATTGATGACACATACCCACAATTTTTAAAATCGGTTTACGATGTAGAAAGTGACAACGTTTCGAAAAAATCTGGTTTTATCTAAATTTCGGTGACTTGCGGAAATCATGGGAGTTTTTTAAAGTTGAAGATAAATGCATACATGCATTTAGCTATGTATAGATCGGTTTCGCCGTATAACCATCGTGATCTTTTAACATTACTTTCCTTCAGCTAAGAATTGTACACGCTTTAAATTTAACATATTTAAAATTAGGGCTGTTGCACTTAATTACTTTTGTACAAATTACTCACTTAATTGACCGAAATTGAAGTAATTGATAATTGATTTAAAATACTCCCTAGTGTTTATGAGTAACTAACAATCCAAGTCTTTTACGTGTACAACTCAGATCTGGTTGGGACCAATTTTATTTTGTTCACCGCAAAAAATAAGCATACCCGTATTTTTTCATTTTTTATAATGCGCTCATTTGAGCGCGAGGTGCGAATTTTAAAACATTTTTCAGCCAAAACCTCGGTTTTTAAAAATTCTGTAAATTTTCGAATTTTAGTGCGAATCCAAAAATTCGAAAACATGTCTCTTCAGAATGACTTACCTACCTTATAAAAAATCCACATGCATTATTTTTTGAAAAATTAAAAATTTGAAAGAGTTTATAATTTTAATGATTTTCAGAAAGTGGCAAAAAATTTTTAAATTCCAATTTCGAGGCAATTGGATTTTTCAGTCAGATAAGTCATTCTGAAGAGACATGTTTTCGAATTGTTGGATTCGCGCTAAAATTCGAAAATTTACAGAATTTTTAAAAACAGAGGTTTTGGCTGAAAAACGTTTTAAAATTCGCGCATCGCGCTCAAATTAGCGCATTGTGCAATACTTTTCCAGCTAAAACCTCGGTTTTAAAAAATTCCACAACTTTTCGAATTTCAGAGCGAATTCAAAAATTCGAAAATATGTCTGTTCAGAATGACTTACTTGACTTATTAAAATTCCAATTGTCGCGAAATTCGAATTTTAGAATTTTTTGCCTGCTTTTGATATTTAAAAAAATTACGAACCCATGTAGAGTTTCAAATTTCTAAAAATTTAGCAATTGGACTTTTTAATACATCAAGTAAATCACTCTAAAGAGACATGATTTCGAATTTTTGAATTCGCGCTAAAATTTGAAAAGTTGTGGAATTTTTTAAAACCGAAGTTTTGGCTGGAAAAATATTTAAAATTCGCGACACGCGCTCAAATTAGCGCATTATGAAAAATGCAAAAATTCGAATAGGCTTATTTTTTGTGCTGAACAAAATAAAATTGGTCCCAACAAGATCTGACAAGGGACACTCACGACCTGTCGTTTGAGTCCAGGATATCCACTATGTTTTTTTAGAATCTACTAGGACCCCAGATGAAGGATTCATTCATAGTTCCGTGTAAAACTCATATTTGGCGTCGTGCCGTGGCGCTACATTCGCCAAATTTGAATGTTTTTATTTTTGAGACCGCCATAACTTTTGAAATCCTGGACGGATTTTCAAAATTTTGGGCAAAAGTTATGACAAGGAGGTCAACTTTCTTATCCCATGAAATTTTTCCAAAATTATAGCTTTTGACTTTTCGCAAAATTTCGTAATTTTCTTAGAAATGGGGCTTCGTCGAAAAAATTCTACAAATATTTCAAAAATTATAAATTTTTTATTTTTATTTTTTTCTCAAAAATTTCGACTTTTGTGATCATTTTTAGCGTAAAATGTTGAAAATCCGACATAAACTGCAAAAGTTATGAGGGTTTGAAATTAGTCGAAAATGAAAAGTTTTAAGTTTGGCGCCACGGCACGACGCCAAATATGAGTTTTACACGGAAATATGAATGAATCCTTCATCTGGGGTCCTAGTAGATTCTAAAAAACATAGTGGGTGCCCTGAACTCATACGACAGATCGTGAGTGTCCCTTGTGAGTTGTACACGTAAAAGACTTGCATTGTAAGTAATTAAGAATTTGATGGACCTAAAATTGGAGGTACCTAATTACTTGGTAATTCGACCATCTTGCGATTAGTTCCGATTTTTAATGAGCTACTGAAAAATTCCGGATTTTTATGTTTACCAAAATGTTTCTGAAAAACTGCAACATATCGATTTGTCCGATCTGTTATTTTAGCACCTTGTATCACAAAAAATTTTGGAACATGGTTTCTAATAGACAATTGCATGGGGAATTCAATAAAAAACAACTGGCAACTGGCTAGTGTAACTGTTACTGATGTTTTTGGCTCGCGGAATGCGTGAGACATAATATATTGCAGTAGTAGGTAAAGTACAGAATAAAAATGCATGCGTGAGACGTTTTAATGTCGATTTTCTTGCAGAATCTAGCGAAAAAGTTCATGGACCAATGTTAAAGTGATTTTGGATCAAGTTTTTTAATATTTTGCGATGCACTTCTTGGTAGAAAAAGTTGATGGGAAATAGCGTTTAATTAATTTTATGAGAATCAACCAATTAGTAATTAGTAATTAAAATTCAATTACATTTTTGTTAAGTAATTGTAATTGGTAATTAAATTCAGTTATAGGACAAATAAATACTTGTAATTGAAGCTATGCTCCAAGTTTCACAAACAGAGTAATTAATAATTGAGAACTAATTACTCCCATTTCTGATTAAACAGCCCTGCTTAAAATACGCAAAATTGAGGGATACAATCCGTTAAAAAACGTGGAATTCTTCCGAGCAATGTTTATTCAAGTAAATATTTTTATTTGAGTCTTTTAGATCTAAAATACTTATGATGACATGTCAAATCTATGCATGTATCTTAGTCGACCCCACCACCCATTTTTCCTTTAATAGCTTCTGATGCATATTCCTTAAAAACCTGCTTGTTTTGGCAACGCAACCATCCCTTCAAGCACAAGGTCTTCCGAATTGTTTCCACATTCAGTCTTTGCCGTTTTGGAGTAACCAAATCTGTTCCAGATGAAAAGAATCGTTCCACCGGTACACCTGTCCCTGAGGCACTCAAGAAGTCCTTTGCCATTCTGCTGAGATTTGGATAGACGGCTTCTTGTGCTTTCCACCATCCAAGGGGACCGCTTTTCATTGAAGGTGACGAGGGACTTATAACGCTTCCTGACAAATACATTTGTAGCTCATCTCGTTCGTCAAACCTTGCCCGTTTCATTTGTGAGCTAAAGAGATCATCTGTATCGGCTTGTTCAGATTCATTTTCTTCCTTGTCTTGTACGGCCGTAAAATTAGTCGGCTTGTATCGGTCATCCCAACATTTTTTAATGGCACTATAAGAATCGAAGTATATTATGTACGTATTCCTAAAACATAAATATTCCAGTATTAAAACTGCCTTGCTTACTCTTTGTATTCTTTGATAAGTTTAGGTGTAAAATACGTAGAATTGCAGGAGCACCAAGTTAGTTTACTTCTCGGGTCGAGGACTAGCCAAAACCAAAATGAATTATGAATTTGCAAATTTTGTTACATAAATCAGGTTATTTCGTACTTAAGCCAACGACATGCACCAGTCCGTCCGTACTAGGATAATACTTGTTAAGTTTTGTGCAAGCTTTTTCGGCTGCTTTCACAATAATTTCAGAATGTCCTTTCTCGATCTATGTGATTGAATACAATTACACGATTTAGGTAATTTAGGATGTGATATGAAATAAATTGTAAAGGAATGTAAATATGCAAGTTTTAAATTACCGAAAAACTTTCCAAGTGATTATACAATTCCATGTACACCATCGCTGACAGTGACATACTTGGCAAATTTTCACGAGAGATAGAAACCGTCATTTTCTGAAAGGGCTAAATTACGACAATATTATAATTTTAAATTCCAATGTACTAACACTAAATAACACTACGTTCAAAAATTCTACGACCTCTTCAACATGTCCCCACTCGGCATCAGTTAGTATAAACTGTTTAAGCTTGTTTTCGCTTCTAAGTGTGTTCTCCAGGGGCTGTTATACAAATTAATATTATCATATATTAATTAAGCTGGCAAAATGTTGATTGAGATTAATTAATCCTGATCCACAATCTTGATTATCAGATGTTATTCATTAATTCTAATCCTAATCAAGGGTTATTTTTAGTTGTGGCGCTGATATCAGATTCTTTGCATTATTTTATCATAAACGCAAAGTAGGTAAAAGCAGTTATCGGCAAAACATTAATTTACTTTAAAAAATTGGAGTTATTTTTTGGAATTTTGTCACTAATAAAATTTCTAAAATCTATAACTTCCAAAGTTTTTGCCAACAATCCCTCTTCTAACATTTTAAGGCACTTCTCTAATTATAAAATTTATGCATGGTTTATTATCCAAATGCGTTACTAAAAAGTGGATAAAATCAAATCATTCCGAAGACTATTAATCTATAATTTTTAATCTGTCAGCGAAGTTAATTAATTAATCTAAGCTTTGCAGTCTTGTGCATTAAGATAATTCCAATAGAATCAGATCAAACTCACTAATTTCATATCCAAAGCGCGTTTCAACATATAATAAGTTGAATTCCAACGTGTGGAGACATCCCTCATAAGTTCATTGGACGGAATTCTGCTAAATTCGCATTGCTTCTTAAACAACTCTCGTCGTTGTGTGGAAGCTCGAATTTTTGTTATTCCTTGGCGCAACTGTAATGAAATAAAAGCTTTAATTTTATGCCACCTGATGATTCGTGTTTATTAATTACTTTGTCACATAAATCTCGATTAGTCCCACTCGATTCTCCATCATCAAGCTCTACATACTCCATGTCGTCGAATTCAACGCCCTCAGTTGAATCGCCAATTAAATTTAAGGAAGACAAAGCATCCTGACACGCCAAATTCACAATGTGGGCAAGGCATCGCACCCTCTGATCCTTGGGGAAAAATTCAACGCCCTAAATGGCAAGATGTGTTAAGCATTTTTTTCCTTATTACTTGTTGTATTAACTTAACCCAAACATGAAGAATATATTTTACCTGAGCGCACAATAATGTAGTCAGTTCTTTAAAAAATGTGTCACAATTAGATGCGTTATCCGTTGTAATGGCCATAATTTTTTCTGCCAACTTAAATTCATTAATGCATTTCAAAAATGATTGTGCAAGATTCTTTCCCGTATGCTTTCCATTCAGAATATCCAGATCTATGACACGTTCCTGAAATTCCCAGTTGTCATCAACCCAGTGGGCGATGACTCCTTGAAATGCAATTTGATTCGGCGATGTCCAGCCGTCCAGGATAAATGATATTTTTCCTTTTACCCCCTGTTTGAAAATATATCTATTTTATGATCGTTTAGTAAAAAAAGTAATGATTTATATGGTTAATAACCTCGAGAGTCGATTTAAGAATCTGCTTTACTTGATCATACATCGAAAATATCCGCCGCTTTACCGTACTATCGCTCATCATTTTAGGAGTTTCGGAAAATATTTTAAAAATGTCACCAAAAGACTCTTCTTCAGCAGTGGTAAATGGTTGATTTTTTAGCACAATGAATGAAGTGACACGTCTTTCGAACTCCTCCTGACTGAATGGCTGCGATTTAATGTTTAAAAATATTGTTACTGCCTTGATAAGTAAGTAAACATTAAGTAATACAAACATACCTTTTTTAAAGACTTTAAGGAGCTGAATTCAATTTTAGCTTGACCAGGTAGAACGGAATGATAATTATTGAAGTGTTTATGTAAATTTCCCGTCGATCCAGTTTTGACATCCACTGCAATTTTCGCGCTTTTGGAGACAAATGGGAAAGTAATTGCATTTAGTTAATTGTATACAATTTACTCTTATAATATAATTTGTTTAGTAATATCATAATACATACCTGCAGCGATTGCATTTGTACTTATTTTCTTTTTCAAGTAAAGTAAAATGCTGATGAGTATTTGATCTAATTGATTTTGTTTTACTATTCAGTTCAGTTTCAGTATTACCACTACCTGATGCCTCTTTGGAATCGTCTTCGCTTTTGGAAGGCATTTTAATTAAATAAGTTTTAGACAAGTAGAAATTCTAATTATTTATTTCAGTATTTATTGAAACACAACCTTGGAAACACACGAGGTTGAGCAATTTCTCGTTTATTATACATTTTTCGCGCTCGTTGTGTCTCACTGCCTTAAAAAAGTAATCGTTGTTTCGGGTTTCGGGTTCTTCATTCGAACCCGAACCCGACCCGAACCCGAAATTTAGGAATTATATTTTTCGGACCCGAACCCGAACCCGAAAGCTTCGGGTTCTGAAATTTCGTATCCGAAGCAGGACCCGAACCCGATCCGAACCCGAAACCCGAAGTAAGAACCCGAACCCGTGAGAAACACTATAATTATTTTGTAGTTATTTTTTATTCGTATTTTTATCATGTAAATATTTTCCAATTAATAAACAACCCGACCATGGCAACTTTTCCTGATATTTGTTAGTACATAACTTCCCTTTATTAAGGGGTGAAAACCCCTTTATGGAAATGTCTTGTCTGTCTGTCCGTCTGTCCGTCTGTCCGTCTGTCCGTCCGTCTGTCCGTCTGTCCGTCCGTCTGTCCGTCTGTATCCACGATAACTTTAGAATGGTTTCGTATTTCGGGATGCGGTTTTCGTCAACGTGTTTCTAATTTTTGAAGTATGGATGAGTTCGAAGATGGGCGTTGTAGGTCGTAAGGCCACGGCGCCACGGTGATGAATCCAACGGTTAAACGTGTCGAATTTTTCGTTTCCACCGTTTTAGACGTATTTTTGGACGGGGATTTCAGAAATCGCCACCATTTCGACGTCAGATGACCGTGTGACCGTGTAGACGACGCCAAAGTCGAAAATTGTCGAATTTTTTGTTGCCACCGTTTTAGACGTATTTTTTGGCGGGGATTTCAGAAATCGCCATCATTTCGACGTGCGACGACTCCATGACCGTGTGGGAGGTGTCGAATGTCGAAAAAATGACTTTTGTCATGTGGGGTGTCTATTGAAAGGTATTGTCGTGTACGTTTGAAGTACGCGGGTGGGGGTGTCAAAACGGGGCAAAATGAGACGTGGGGTAATGTGAGACAAGAATGGGAAAGTGCTGAAAGACGTTGTGGGCGTGCCACAAACACATTTCCGTGTTTTTTCACCCCTTTGCTACATTTCGTTTGCAACGGTTTATTTATGTATGATTTCAATTGGTTTATTGAAAATAAATATGAAAATAAATATGAACATATCATAAAATTTAGCACTGTAGCAAAAAGCATAACTATGTATGTAATTTGCCTTTTTTGATTTATGTAATGTTGACATCAATGGCCCTATTTTACTCAAGCATGATGAATGGTAAGTGGCACGCAGAATTTACATTTCCTTGCATACCACAGTTAAGGTGTCATACATAAATCACTTAACGCTGGCTGTCATCAGCAGAATTGGGAAAAAACCCTATCCTACCCACGCAAAATAGCCAGCCTTACGAAATTTATGGACGGCCCCTTATATGTAAGTCGTAGGTACACACATAAAGGAGAATTAGTGTACAATTGTTTGTGCAAAATTTGGTAAGCCAAAAATATACCAAATCCTGTAACTAATAGAGATTTAGGGGATTTTCCCATTACAAAAATTTCTTACAAAACAAGCAGAATACAGGGTTTCTGTAGAGACATGAAGTTAGAAAGATACCATTGAATAAATTTCGAAAATATTTTAAAAAATCGAAAAAAAATTCTCAAAATTTGGCATTGCCAATTACAACCTAGGCGGCCAATTCTCTGGGGCGATGTAGAGTGTGTCCTAAAAGTTTCTCCCTATCAACCACTAATGGATTTTATTCACAGGGAGATTGAATTGTTGGAATTGCTATATTTTTTTTAAAGTACTGTAATATGATGTTTCGAATCCGGCCTTATTCACCATTTCTTGCATTCATGCCTTAAAACTGTGGTGTAAAATGTGTGGGCCTTACGAAACCAACCATGGACCGGGATTTAGAAGTCGTGTTACGGCATTGCTATGGATGTGACATCCTTCAAATTTGTTTTCCTACATTTCAAATGTTGTGGACTAAATTGTCAATGCTATTAAACCTAGCTCCTGTCGGTGAATATACATACGCTTCTCGTCACCTTCCGCAGGAGTCAAAATAGCTGAAAATCTATGTTTTTAACCGGGTTTGCGCAGTTTAACCGATATCTCGTGGGTTCAAAAGCATTTTCTGCTAACCCCTGTATGTCTGGCTACCCTCCATTGTTATTATGAGATAGTGCTCGAAGTAGTTATCAAAGTATTTAAATTCTTCCTAAAATGCCGTGATGCAAGATTTAGGCTCCTCCAGTTTTTATTGCACAACTAACCAATTTCCTTGCAATTTTATACGCAGATTAGCATTTTTTAATGGGGAGATTGTCCTCGAACTATTTTAACTGCGTTTGGGTTTGAACTATTTTTTTGCTCCGCAATCCTAGCTTCTTTCATATTTGCGTATTTTCACTTAAAACCACATCCTGCATTGGATAATCCCAAAATACGCAAGTTCGTATGCCTGTGAGAAGACTTTACCTTTGGTATTGTATTGCAAAAAAAATTGCACAACAAAACTCACAGATGCAAAAGCTAGAGCCAAGAACAGAGCCGATAAGTCATCGGAGAAACTTTTATGACCCTCTCTAGCCTATCCCAAATGAGGATGCCAAGTTTGAAGGACATTAATACACAGGTAACGTTGCAATGATCATTTCCAGTATTTGGGGTGATATGACAAGTTTGAGGCACATTGAGAAAAAATGCTGTTACACGTGTGCCCTACTTTTTTATTTTACTCGACACATGTACATAAGAGCGTTTTTAGTTTCGCAACCACTCTGCACACATAATGTACCGGTTTTATCGAAGCTGGTCTACCGTGCCAGGGTAGTAAAAACGGTGCAAATTTTTCTTCCGAATTATTGAGAGTGCACATTTCAGTCTCCGTGTTTCTGCAAGTCCATGAAAAGTGTGTGATTACATGAAGTAAGTACATTTGAATTGAACAACGTTTGGGACAAATCTTCGTCTTAATTTACGAGCATGGGACTTTATTCCGCTACGTATTTCATAAACATTTGGGTTTCATAAACACGCGTGTTCAAATACCTATTTATACAACTCCGTGACCAAACTAGGCGTTACAACGGTAACTTATCGTGTCAAAGTTGTCGAGACAACCATGCTTAATTAATTATTCAGTAGTTACAATTGAGGTCTCCCAACGTAGGCTCACCGATTTGTACCAAACCACCGTTAATCGATCACAAATATAATTAGTATGAAATTTGCAAATGGAATAATTTATCTGCCAATGAACAGGTTTAGCGGGATATTTGCACCCAAAGCGGGAAAAACGCGCAGTAAGTTAGGAAAATGCAAAATTTTCCAGCGTTGGGGATGCTTTTGCTCCCCTTTCTATGCAACTATATCCACTAAACTTGAGCAACGGCCAATGGCTCCATTTGCAAATTTCATACTCATTAGATTTGTGATGGGTTCACGCTGATTTGATCCAAATCGGTGAGCCAACATACGTCGGGAGACCTCCATTGTTACCAGTATATTCAACACAAGCTTACATGAACATTTCTTCACAACAAAAATTACCATAGAAACAATCAAACACTTATGAAGTACACATGACTCCAAACAATTCCCAATATTAGCTAAACTACAGTACTGAAGGGTAAGTCCACGTCATCTCGGTCCAGAAATTTCCAAAACTTGTTAGCACTTCGTCCATATAAAAATTAATTTTTCGCAATGGAGATTTACAACCTGGCAACGTATATCATCATATTTTCCGGATGTGCAGTTAACCTCATAAACTATGAAAACATCGAAATTTCGTCGGACATCTCAACTCCGATTTGGGTCACTAGATTTAAAGCTGTTAAACTCTGTGGCATTAGCTTAACTGGTTATGACAGGTTTCCTCTCCGGTTTCATCTAATTATACTCCAAGGCTTTCAAAAGACAAATGGCCCAAAATGTTTTAATGGAAAACCAAAAATTTCTATGCTTAGCAACGTAAATCAGCAACGCGGTTGGAATTGTTTAACCAGATTCTACATACACCCGTCCACCAAATATTATGGCATCGTACCAGCCACAATGTACGAAGAAAAGTTTGTTGGGCATCCTCCTGAATTTAGCCCCAGGGTAGGTTATGACCGTCCAGGATATCACGTCTTGGTGCAAGACACCGATTCAAATTCGGAGCCATGGAAGGATCAAATGTCCAAAATATTGTTTGAAAATTCGCAGCTATTCATGATGATGATTATCGTCCAGGAGAAAATTATAAGTCACCTGGAACTCCATTTTCGTCACTGCTGCTCTTATAATTTCGGAACTGATGTCCCCGACCTGACCCGTATCATTGGGGAGATTAATCATTTCAGCAGAGTGGATATGGGCTTATGTGTCATTACGAGCATAAAGTGGCCGCCAATGTATAAAAATATTCGCTTCTCAGAAATCCTAAAAGACAATATAACATTAGATGCAGTCTATTTAAACCTGGTGGCGGGACCCAATACCAGTTTAGAATTTGCTTACCCGCACTGTACCGGTAATCCCAGCGGAACTTTGGCCGCATCAAGCACAGTTATCACGGAACATCCCAAATGTAACTTTTGGCTCGTCAATACTCCCACAATTAGCACAATGGCGCGCTCTGCAATTCAAGTCACCAAGGGTTCGGAATCATTTAGTTTTCTTACCTGCTCCCCGCCCAGTTATCCGAAAACCTCTTTAGAGAAACTGGCAACCGTCTTTACCCCTGACCTTTGGGCTTGGATTGGTGGGACGTCAATCTTATTAGCAGCATTCCTATGCGTTACTTCGTCCGGTCACATTTCCATAGTGGATGCGTTAACCACATCGTACAGCATTTTGCTCGAACAATCCAACCCACACGCGGTTAATCAAGGGAAGAAAAACTTCTTATATTTCCTGTGCGCCGCTTGGATTTTAACCGCACTCGTA